ACACACACACACACACACACAATCTGAGTCTAGCTTATTTCACTTAATATAATCTCTAGCTCTATCCATTTTCCTGAAAATGTCGTTTTTTTTTCTCTATGGCTACATAAAATCTCACTGTACACTGTTTAATGTTTTCTCACTCCAGGCTGGTTTCATTTCTTAGCCATTGTGAGCAGTGCAGGTATAAAGATGGATGTGGGGGCATCTCTGTGGGATGCCGACTTAAAGTCCTTCAGGTATATACCTAAGCATGGTATAGCTGCATCACATGCCACTTCTATTTTCAGTTTTTAAATTTATTTAATGTTCTTATTTTTAATTTTGATTTATTTGTTTTGAGTCAGTGTCTCCCTGTAGCCACAGCTGGCCTGGAACTTAAAATGTAGATGAGGCTGGCCTCTGGTTCTGAATTAGAGGCATGCAACACCACGTCCAGCTTATATTCATTTTTTTGCGATCCCTTGGCACTGATTTCCATAATGGCTGCACAAGTCAAGGAGCACTTTTGAATAAATGAATAAATATCCACGTGGATGCCCTGGCACTTCCTTGTCTTCCCTGACACCAGCCACACCCTGGCTCCATTAGGATGGCTTTGGGCTGCATGTAACTGATACTCAACAGGTAGTCAGACAGGAGTTTATTTTTTTGTGTCAATGAAGATTCCAGAAAGAGACAAATGCAAACTCAACTCGATGACAGGGACCAGGCTCCTGTCTTTCTGCTCTGCTACCCACAGCAATTGGGCTCTTGTCCTAGTACAAAAAGGAGGGCTCATATTTCATAGGGCAAGCTGGTACATGCGGGGAACACTTGATGTTTTTGTTGGAAGCAGGAAGTGGGGGTGGGACAAATATTGTCAACTGGCCCGTCTCATGCTAGCAAAGAATAGCTATAGTTCCAGAATCCTGTGTTTTCCTTTTTAGCTTGTTTGCCAGAACTCACAGGGACCTCCTGGCTGCAGAGGGCCTGGGTAAGCAAATGTTTTTCTCTGCCTGGGAGAAAGTTGCAGGAGTAAATATTGGGTAGGGAAGCAGCAGCATCTGCCTCCTGCCATGGCAATTAACTTGCCACATGGACTAAGGTCCTGGGGTTCCCTGGAGCACAAAGAAAGGGTTGGGACTGCTGCCTGGAAGCTTCCTCCTTCTCACAGCCGTTGTGCACTAACGTTGGGGCTTTGACAAAAGAGGTTCTGCCTCTGTACCCCTCTGAGGGACATGGCCTAGGGTCTTATTACTCTGGGCTCCCAAATCCATCAGGGAGGGTTCTGCTGTTTCTTTGACTCCCCTGGCTTGCTTCTTAGCAGGTGGTTGGGCAAAAACCCATAGCATCATGCGAGACCTGTTTCTTACCATTTCTCCTCTCAATCCTCCATCCTATCTGGAAGCCCAGGTCTGCCTGGGCACAAGTGGCTCAGGGACTAGAGACGCCTGAATTCTAGCCACTTCCTTCTGTCTCCTGGGATACTGCAGACCAGGCAGCCTGTCAGTGATGGGGTAACTACCTCCTTCCCAGGCTCCCAACTCCTGCCCTCAAAGGTGGTTTCAGATACCAAACTGGATGGCACCTCTCCCCCACTGGCTTCCTGAAGTTTAACATCTCTTAGGGGGAGGTAGCCTTGAAATCACCATGGTGCCCAGGATGACCTTGAACTCTTGATTCTCCTGCCTCCTCCTTTCAAGAACTGGGATTACAGATGTGTACCATATCCAGTTTATGCCAAACTTTGTAGTGAACCCTGGGCTTCATACATGCTAGATAAGCCAACTGAGCTACATCCCCGGCCCCAGTTTAACATCTTAATTCCTGAGTTCCCCTCCCCTAGAACCTGTGCTATTGCTCCAACCTCCCTTTCTCCATCCCAGTCCTCATGTTTTCCTGCCTGTTCCTCTGACCTCAGGGCCTTTGCACCTGCAGTTCCCTCTCCCTGCTCACCTTCCATCTTCTTCCCATGATTCAGGTCTCCACCTGCCTTTTTCTCCCTGATCACTTGCTGGATACTCTCTATGGCATCCCTTATAAAATTTCTTTTTTATTTTATAGTTTTACCTTTTATTTAGTGTGTGTGCATGCATATGCTTCATGGTGTGCATGTGGAGGTCACAGGACAACACTGGCAGGAGTCAGTTCTCTCTTTCCACCATGTGGGCCCCAAGGATTGAACTCAGGGCATTAGCCTTGGCAGTAGGTGCCTTTACTCATTGAGCTGTCTCACTAGCCCCTCAAATTTCTTTAGGCATGTTTTCTCTGCTGTGTGAAATGCAGGCTACAGGGACTCTGTCTGTCTAATGACTGCGCTACTCCCCAGGACTTAACAGAATCAAACAAAATTCAAAGGGAGGCTCGTAAGTTCTTGGGCAACAAGACACTGACTTGTCCTCCTTCCTTAGTTCTAGGTACATTTCCTTTCCAGAATCCATTGCTCCCTTCTTGCCCCTGCTGATCTTTGTGACGTCACAAGATGGGGCCAATCAGCAGTGTTCCTCAATCTCTCACTGCAGGGAAATTCCTTGCCTTCCCTTGTGCTCTGCTCAAGTCCCCAAGGCGGCTGGAAGACCTGGAACTGTCCCTAAGACAGCCAGACGGCCAGGACTGTGGAGCAAGGCTGCCTGGGTCTCTTACCTCCTATTTGAAAGTCAGCAAAGAAAGGTGTTCACACATATTCGTGGGGACCATTGATAGATGCTCATTGCTATGACAAAATACCCGATAAAAGCAACTTCAGGAAGGAAGGTTTATTTTGGTTCACAGTTTGACAGCCCATCATGGTGGGCTGTCATGGTGGCAGGCATGTGAGGTGGCTGGTCACAGTGCCTCTGCAGCCAGGAAGCAGAGAGAGGTGAATGCTGGTGCTCGATTCACTTTCTCCTTTTTATTCACTGTGAAACCCTAGCTTATGGGATACTGTTGCCCACACCCAGGGTGGGTCTTCCCATTTCTGTTAAACATTTTCGGAAACCCCCTCATAGACACACCCAGAGGAGTGTTTCCATGGCAATTCTATAATCTACTCAAGTTGGCAATAAAGATGAGCCATGACACATGGGGTTCCGAGTGAGGGCTTTACACTTGTCAGTGGGCGTTATCTGCTAACAAACCTGAGGGGCGATATATGTGATGCAGAGGATCAGAGAGGTCACACAACTTGCCATAGTGCACACAGCAAGGAGTGGCTAAGTCTGGATGTGAATCCAAGAAAGCCCACTTGGAAGACAGCAGCTGACACTGTCGGATCTGAAATGATAGCTGAAGTTTTACTTTATCATAGTTTAGGAAAGCTGAGGGGCAACTTGCAGAGATTTGGGGAAGGGGTGTTACCCCAATATTGGTTACTTTTGTATCTCTGAGACCAAATATGTGACTGAAACAACTTAAGAGAGGAAGGACTTACTTGGCTCACAGCCTCAGAGGGTTCATTCTTGGTGGCTTAGCCCGTGACCCAGGAAGAACGTCATGGCAGTGGGAACATGTGGCAGAGGCTGTTCACTTCCTGACAGACAGAAAGCAAAGAAACAATATGCAGGAACGAGACCAGGGCTTGTGGGACATGCTCCCAGTGACCTCGTTCCTCCCACTAGGCCCCACCTTGGACCTTTCACCACCTCCCAAGAGTGGCATCAAATCATGAGTCCTGCAAGGGATGAACCCTTGATGAAGTCAGAGTCTTTCTGATCTAATCATCTCTGGCAACATCTTCATGGACAACTGTCAAGGTGTGCATCACTAATCTCCTGCATGTTTCTTTTTTTGTTTTGTTTTAAGACAGAGTCTCAAGCTGGGTTTGGTGGCCCATGCCTTTAATCCCAGCACTCAGGAGGCAGAGGCAACTCTGTGAGCTCAAGGGCAGCCTTGTCTACGTAGTGAGCTCCAGGCCAGCTGGAGCTACAGGGAGACCCTGTCTCAAAAACACCAAAAAAGAGAAAAAAGGACAGGGTCTCACTGTGTAGCCTTAGCTGGCTTAGAGCTCTCTATATAGAGTAGGCTGGCCTAGGACTCACAAAGACCTGTCTACCTCTGTTTCATGAGTTCTGGGACTAAAGGCATATGTTACCAGGCCCAACTCCTAGGTGTTTCTTATTCCAATCAAGGTGAACCATCACAGGCTCCCTCCCAGTGACACTGGATCCTATGACACATACTTGCCCTAGTTTTTCTACATGGGTTTGTGTTGGTCCCATGTTCCACAGCTCCATGGAGGGCACAAAAGCCTAGTGATGAGGCCTCATGAAATACCCAGGTTCCTCACAGAACAGAAGAGAAGTGGAGAAGGTTTGAGTTGCCTGCACTCAGTCTACACAGGCCTCCATCCCACACATTCTTTCTCCTACAGGTGGCCCTGGAGTGTCTGTACAATCGGGAGAAAAGGATTGGGATTGACCTGGTCCATGACAACGTGGAGAAAAACCTTATCAGGGTAAGGTGTAACCTGGGAGTAGGGAGAGGGCAGCCTCTGGTCAGAGGGTTCTGAGCAGCCTGTCAGAAGCAGAAGCTACATGTGATACCCTGTGGAGTCAGGGCTCTGAACACACGGGTGGACACAGGTCACCATGTAGGATTAGGGAGAAATGGAATTAGAAATGGAATTATTAGACCTTCAATCTTGTCATTTTCAAAATGGCTACATGGATAGTACTATGATAATATAAATTTAAGAAGCCAATGTGAGTTTATTTATACAGGGCCTTGTGTAGCCCAGGCTGGCCTCAAACATGCTATGTAGCTGAGGATGACCTTGAATTCCTGGTCCTCCTGCGTCCACCAAAGTGCTAGGATTACAGGCGTGGACCACCACACCTGGATTATGCAGTGCTGGGAATGGTGCCCAAGGTTTTGTGGGTGCTAGGCTAGCAGTCACTACTGAGCCCCAAATCAGTGTTAATTAAGCATATACTGTATGTCAAAAAACATACCACTTCAGGTGCATGGCTTAATTTAATGATAAAGTAATCTGTTCTGGGAATGGTGCCCAAGGTTTTGTGGGTGCTAGGCTAGCAGTCTACTACTGAGCCCCAAATCAGTGTTAATTAAGCATATACTGTATGTCAAAAACATACCACTTCAGGTGCATGGCTTAATTTAATGATAAAGTAATCTGTAAGTGAGCACTTGGCACCCAGTTAGGTGCTAAATTTTCTTTTAATTCGGAAACGTATAAAAAGAAAGCCAGGCATAGTGGTAACTTGCTTGTAATCCCAGCTACTCAGGAGGTTGAGGCAGGAGGATCATGAGTCTAAGGCCTGCCTGGGTGACAAAGTGAGTTCAAGGCCAGCCTGGGCAGCTTAGTGAGACCCTGTCTCAAAACAAAAAGAGAAAAGAGCTGAGAATATAGCTCAGGTTTGATAGAGTGCATGTCTAGCAGGTATAAGACCCTAGGTTCAGCTCTCAGTGAAAGGGTAGATAAAAATAGAGAGGGAGATGGGGGCGGGGCAGAGAAAGGAGAGGAAGGAAAAGAAGGGAAGGAAGGAAAATAAACCTGGGTTGATAGCACATGCCTGTAACCTAGCACTAGGGAGGCTGAGGTGGGCCAGCCTGGGCTACACAGCAAGTCAAGACAGAGCCTCTACAATCCACCTTTAGCTCAGTGGTCTTGGAATCTCAAAGGTGAAGGCAAGATCCCCCAACTCTAGCAAGACCCCCCCAGTCAGGCATTTACCCTCCTGAGGTCCAAGAATTAGGGCTCTGACTCCTGAATTTCCAACCCTGTCAGCTCTTTGTGACACTTATTTTTCATTTCAGGAAGTGGATTTGTTAAAATGTTGCCAAGATCAGATGAGAAAATTAGCTACAAGAATAGATTTCCAGATGAGGTAAGGTATTCTTTCCTTGGGAATTTTTGGGGCGCCTCCCCCAGATTTCTGGGTGGCAGCCAGATAGGTCCACTTGTCTCTGGGTAGTTCTTTGGTCTCTGGTGTGCTGTTCAAATTTTAACACCCCGCTCTCTGGGGTGGGAGGGTAGGATGGGGTCCTGATCTTAGGACATGTCCATTGTCAGTGCTCTTGTTAATGGATGATGTGGTCCAGAGACGGGCAGATTCTGCCTTCCTGAGCTAGCTTATTCCTAGCTGCTCTTGACCCTGGCAGAAGGCACCCTCCAGGCCCCACTTGGCTCCCCTAGTCCAGGTCTGAACCTGAGCATGGCAGACTGTGATGACATTAGGCAATAAAGGTGAGGGACTGGGACATCTCAGCAGGGAGCTGGTAGACGCCTGAGCCAGGAGTCTTCAAAGGGCACCAACTTTGTTCTTAGATGGTGATGTAACTGGTATCATGCCAAGCTGGGGGCCGCTCATGTAATTAAAGGGATGTCTATACTTTACGGGGCTTGAGGCCCCTAGCTAAGCCCTGGGCCCCCCAGGAGGCAGTCTCCCCACTGGGTGCTGGGCTGGGCCCTCACCTTTCCCTCTCTCAGGGCATGCTGCTCAGCTGGTTTTCCTTCTTTCCTAACTCTTGTCACACAGATGCTGATGGCCTTGCCAGAGCTGCCCTTCCAAATGTGGCCAGCAGAGTGGCCTATGGAATGGGGGAACACTCAGGTGGCTTGCCTAGCTTGCCTAGCTTATCAGGAGACTCACAAGCCAACCTGCTCAGGTAGCCACAGGCACAGGCTGTTGGCTCATGGTTTTCTAGGCCGGGCCTGAGAGTGGCTTCCAGGGAGAGGTGTCCTTGTGGTATAAGTGCCTCAATAGCAGAAACAACTGCTCTTGACTGGGGAAGAGCCAGCTTGGGCCCTTCCTGGTGGGCTGACAGCAGGGTGAGGCTGTGCCAAGTAGGGGAGACAGAGGCCGCCCCTTCTTCTTCCTAAGCCTCATTAGCAAAGGGGAAGCAGTGAGGCCAACTGGATTCTGAGGCTCCAGCTGACCCCTAATGCTGTAACTTGTGGCATTCCCCACATTGCTGTTCATTGAGCAAGATGGAGCCCAATTTCATGCTGGCCCAGTTAAAGAAGGCTCAGGGTCCTGGTGGGGTACCCTGACAGGGTTTCCTTTGTGTCCTAATGCATGAATATCCCCCCTCCACCCCCAATTGGGGACTTCATTTCCTTCCTCCTGAGTCACTAGAAACCCCTCACTAGGAAGAATATCCACAGGAGAGAAGGGAAGGTGGGGGGAGGAAGAGAGAAAGAGGCTATTAGAAAGAGAAACCCAAAGAGTCAGAGATTAAGATGGAGGAGGGTGGAGCTGGAGACCAGATGGAAACATAGGGAGGGAGAGAGAGGGAGAGAGAAGAGAGGCCATCCAAGGCCCTTCCTTGTATCTGGTGTCTGGCTGTATCTGGTGTCTGGTGTCTAGCCTCATTAACAGAATTCCTTCCTTTCTCTATTTTCTTATAATTCTAAACATTTCAAGACCAGTGTTCTGTTACCTGCTTATATGTTTTTAACAAGGACTAACCTTTTTTCAACCAATAGAAAAATAGAAAAGAGGTTCAGTTTAAAAGCTTCTAGAGGCAAGAGAGTCTAGCTGGGAATTAGCATCTACTTATATTGAGTTCTGAAGTGAACATCTATTAATAGCCAAGAGTTGTTTTCCTTTAAAGACAAGAATGCAAATTTTCCTTTCAAAATGCATTGATTTCTATTTTAAAAGTCATTTGAAAAGAAGGAAAATAATAAGTAAATAACAGTGCAGGTACTTTGGTATTTGGCGAGAATCATGGAAGTGGTTGCCAAGTCTGGAGTCTGGAAACATTGGTGTTGGCAAAGCATCTTAGCTCCAGTTCCAGCTGTCTGGGCTCAAGTCCCTGCCTGACCCATTGTCTCCTCCTCACCTTACTGGGTCCTCGACCCTGCCCAGCCCTTGACTCCACCAGTCCCTCACTCTACCTGGTCCCCTGACTCTACTCAATGGCTCCTGACTCTGCCCAACCCTTGGCTCTGCCCAGCCCCTGGCTCTACTCAGCCTCTGGCCTTTGATTCCACCCAGCCCCTGGCTCTGCCCAGCCCCTGCCTCCTGACTCTGGCTGGTCCCTGGTCCCCCAAAACCTGAATCTTTCTAGCTTTTTGGCTTTTGTGTTAACTTGGAATTCTAGTTCCTCAATGCAACTTTGTCCATAATATCTATCCCCACCTGATATGAACACCTAACTCAGACACTTCCTCTGGAAGTTCTCCATGATTACTCTCTTAAGCAGCTTTAATGATTCTCTCTTCTGTATTACTTTTTGTCCTTTTAAACCTCTGTAGATCTCCTTATCATGTGCATTATATTTACTTTTACTGTATTTGTTTGTATAAATCTGAGCAACTTGCTAAGCATTGTGGTGCTCTCCTGTGATCCCAGTACTCAGGAAATTAAGACAGAGACAGATCAAGAGTCCAAAGCCTAGGGCTGGAGAGATGGCTCAGTGATTAAGAGCACTGGCTGTTTTGTAGAGGACCCAGGTTGGGTTCCTGGTGACTAACACCCTCTGTAACTCCAGTTCCAGAGAGATACGATGCCCTCTTCTGGCCTTTGCAGGTATTGCATGCATGTGGCGTATTTACATGCAAGCAGGCAAAACACTCACACATATAAAAAAATAAATAAACAAATAACTTTTAAAAAATACCAAAGCCAGCCTAGGCTACATAGTGAGTTGAAGGCTAGAGTGAGAATTTGTCTCAACAAAACAAAACAAAACAAAACAAAAACCAAATCAAAACAAAAAACATCTGAGCAACGTGAAAGCAGCACCTGGGTTTTATTGACACCTTAATCCTTGTATTCAGCACAGCCTTTCACAGTGACTCATTTGTGACAGGAATGGAGTCCAGACAGACTTTGTCCAAAGGTAATTTGGCATCTTCCAAATCGGGCCTGCCACCTGTTCTTATAAAGTTTTATTGAAGTAAAGTTACCCTGACTGTGCTCTTACATATTCTCTGTGACTAGCTGAACAGTTGCAACTGAGACAGCATGTCCCTCAAAGTACAAGATAAGACTATTTGACTTTTTACAGTAAATACAGTAAATGTTCTTTTTTTTCAATTTGTATTCCATTTATGATTATTATTACTATTATCATTGTGATTATGATGATGATGATATGTGTGTGTCACTATACTTGTGTGAAGGTAAGAGGACAACTTTCAGGAGTTGGTTCTTTTCTTCTACCGTGAGGTCCAGGGATGAAACTGAGGTCATCAAGTTTGTAGGGGAAGCACTTTTACCTCCTGAGCCATCTCACCAGCCTGGCCCAACACTGTTCTAAAAACAGTAGGTTTGCTTGGACTGGACGGAGCCCTGCCAATGCAGATGGCTCTATGTTATGAGGTGGGGACATCACAGTGAGAGAAGAGCTGAGACACCTCTGGGTATCCACAGAGCACCTTCCTGGGAACCTGATGACTTTCACCTGGGCTCCACATGAACATGACTATAGTTGGGGACACTGGGTAACCCCTTGTTCCTCCTCCATGCAGAGATAACTGAGATGCTCAACACAGCCTGGAGCGGGACATAGAGGACAAAAGCTCAGCCCAGTGTATCGATGAGAAATGCTTTAACCTGAGAAACACGTCTGACTGCATCAGTTTCTTTCATGGCATGGAAAAATTTGGTGGCACGTAAGTATCAGCTCTCTGTTCCTGTCTTTGGCCATGTTCTCCTGTCAAGGAATGATAAAGGATGCCATGTGCCTGTCAAGTGGCAGATGGTGCATTTGAATGGGGTCCTCTGTTGCAAGTAGCAGGATCCAAGTCTGGCCAATAGAACAAGATAGAATTTCCCCAAAGTCTATATGGGAGCAACAGGCTTGAGGAGAAGGTTCTGGCAGCCTGAGGAAACCAGTGGGTGGAAGCTAGTGGTCTGTGTTGTTCCTGGGAGCCTGTGCATTTGGCTTGCAGCCCCAGCTCTGCTATGTGACCTTGGATGGGGGGGCATTGGGTACATGCATGTGCTACCATCTTTCCATGCTTGACCCACCTTGCCCAAGATCCAAATTCTAGAGAGAGAGCATGTGATTGGCTGAGTAAGGGTCACATGGTCGCTACAGCTGTAGCAATCAACTGACAATTCTACCAAAGCATAAAACACAATGACTGTCACCAGTAGGAGCAGGAATTTCATCTCAACAGTCACACAGCACTAGGATTAGTGAGAGAATAAACTCTTGGGGGCTGGGGATGTAGCTCAGTTGGTAGAGTCTAGTGTGCACAAAGCCCTGGGTTCCATCCCCAACACCACATTAACTGGTATGGTGGTAGATGTCTGTAATCCCAGCATAGGTCCAAGAGTTCAAGGTCATCCTTGACTACGTAGAGAGTTTCAGGCCAGCCTGGGCTACATGATACCCTGTCTCAAAATAAAAGCAAAGAATTGAGGACTGGGACTATAATTCAGTGGTAAAGTGCTTGGGTAGCATGTGGGAAGCCTTAGTTCAATTACTTAGTTCAATTTCAGCACTGGAAAAAAATTAATTCTAAAACCAGGCTGTATGTGCACACTGTGGGCAGGTTAAGTCAAGTTCATCTTTTTGGACCACGTTTCTGTATCACTACCATGGAAGGAAAAATAGTACCCCATTTCCAGTCTTACTGGAGCATTAAAAGGTGAGTATATGATGTGGGGAGCACACTACATTTGCTAGGAATTGCTGATAATGATTGAAGGCTTACTGTGTGGTCTCATTTTCTCATCCTGGTTGCCTCTTGTATGCTTGGCACTTTGTGGTGGGGAGCATGTCATTGCATCATGAAGGGTCACATAGAATAAGATGCTTTCTTTTTCTTTTTTGGTCTTTTTGAGACAGGGTCTCCCTGTAGCCACAGATGGCCTAGAACTCGATATGTAGACCAGGCTGGCTTCAAACTCACGGAGATCTACCTGCCTCTGCCTCCTGATTGCTGGGATTAAAGACATGAGCCACCACACCTGGCCAGTGCTTCTTAAAAAAAATTTTACTTATTACTTTTATTTTATGTGTATAAGTGTATTGCCTGCACATAGGTGAGTGCACCCATGTCATACAATGCCATGGAGGTCAGAAGAGGGTGTCGGATTTTTCTGGAACTGCAGTTAAGGACAATTCTTTGTCGCCATGTGGATACTGGGACTTGAACCCAGGTCCTCTGCAAGAGCAGTCAGTGTTCTTAACCACCAATCCATCTCTCCAGCCCCAAGACATACTTTCTTAATCCAGAGGCCTGGAGAGAGATGCTCTGCATCCAGGCAGAGGGTGGAGTCTGTCTTGGCTCCACACTATTTTCTATCTCTAGCAGGTAGAATTGTTCAAGACATATGTACTGGACAAATGTGGATATGCAATAAGTATTTATGGAATGAAAGAATGAAGGAAGAGAAGAAGGGAGGAGAAAGACCAAAGGAACAGAGGGAGGGAAGAGGGAAGGAAGAAAGGAAGAAGTTCCTCAGTGAGCTCTTGGGACAAAGCTGGGAATCATTTTCCAGATTTTAGCAAAGTGTTGAGATGACTTTTGGGGATTTCTTCTGGTAGTGTCAATTCCTGGGGGTCTTCTTCCTCTTTCCAACAGAGTAGAGGTCCTGGAATAAAGGCAAGAATTCAAGGTTCTGCTCCTGGTGGCCACAGCTGCTCATTTGCACAGGGGGACCAGAGTGTTCCTCTCTAGAGATGATGCCTCAAGAACCCGGCTGCCAAGTTGACTGGTGGAGAGCCTGATTTCCATGCCAAGAGAGGCTGCTATTTAAAGCCTTCATCCAGCTGGATTGTGAGAGCTATTCTCTGCAGCCTCTAATTGCTCCCAGATGTGCTAGCTCAGGACTTCGTGTTTGAGGTTTGGGGCACAGTAAAGAGAGGGATGTTTGGTGACCAATGGGACTGTAGTGTCTCTGTTCACTGCAGTTCTCTATTATTTCCCTATAATTAATATATTATTTCTCTATAATATATTATCTCTATTATAGTTCTATATTATTAATCTATTGGCATAGATTAATAGGTGATGATGATGTTGATGGTGCTGATGATAATGGTTGTAGTGATGAAGGTGATGATGATGGTACTAGTGATGACAGTGACAATAGTGATGATGGTGATGATGATAATGGTGGTGGTGATAAAGGTGATGATGATGATGACAGTGCTGACGATGGTGAAAATAGTAGTAATGGTGGTGATGATGGTGATGATAATGGTAGAGATGATGATGATAATGCTGGTGATGTTTTCTATGTGTTAGACTCTGTGTTGAGAGCTTTATACACAGCATCTTATGAATAACAGTCACTTGACAAGTGCTTACTGTGTGTCTGTTGCTATGACAAGGACTTCATTCAGACATCCTGGGCATAGGTACTGTAATTATTCCCCTTTGACAATGAGGAAATCAAGGCTCAGAGAGATGAAGCAGCTGAGTAAGCTCACATAGTAGTTGGCAGAGCTGCATTGGACCTGAGGCCTAGGTGTTTTACCAGTGATGACCTCCTGTCTCTCCAGTGATGCCTGCTGTCCCATCTGTCTTTAGAGGACCTGGGCTCCAGGAGAGCATGTACCCGCATACCACCTGGGAGGAATCAGGCCATCTTTGGTGATTTCCCCCAGTGAGAATGTGATTGGATGGCTGTTTTCTCTGGAGTTCAGCTGTCTGTTCCAGAGGAGGGCAAGGGCATGGGGGTTACTTGTGATAACAATGACAATGTCCTGTTCGGCAACAGTACCTACTTTCAGGATACATTCAACAAGGCTTTTTGCTATTGTTTGGTTGCTTGGTTGCTTGGTTGTTTTTTTTTTTTTTTGAGACAGGTTATCATGTATCCTGGACCAGCCTTGAACTCTCTATGAAGGTTCCAGATTAGATCCTAAGACCCCCTGAGCCACCCTGGGCCCCTCTAGCTGCTGCTTGGCCCGGCTGTGTTTTTGGTGGATGAGGGAGGACAAAGTTCCTTGAGGGACTGCCTCCTGTCCTACCCACTCCTGAGTGCCTTTTGAAAGTCACCGAGCTTCTCTAGTTGCTGCCCCTGCAGAAGGAGAGGTGGATCAGGGCAGTTGATGTCTACTGGGAATGCTTATGTTCCCCTTGCTTCAGGGATACTTTTAATGTCCAGAAACATTTGTGGCTTTTGGGACTGGGTGAGGAAGCACCTGGAAATGAGTGAGTGAAGGTCAAGGATGCTGCTGAACACTCTCAGATGCATAGGACGCCCCCCTAACAAAGAAATGCCCCTCTCCAAAGTTTACAGTTCCTGAAAAGGTTTAGAGTCCCTGCAAAGAGACGTCTCTAAGACCTGTTACCAGCTTCCCATTCCCCACCTGCCTTCAGCTCTCTCTCTCTCGGACTTTTGCAGGGTCTCCATTCCTGAGACCTGGGCCAAGTTCACCAATGACAATATCAGACACTCGCAGAGCATGTGGGCCAATTCCATCAGGCTGCGTGAGGAGGCCGAACACCTCTTTGAGACCTTGTCTGACCAGATGTGGAGACAGTTCACTGACACCAACCTGGCCTTCAACATCCGCATCTCCGAGGAGACAGATGTGAAGAACAAGCTGCAGACACAGCTGGCTAAGGTGAGCAGGTGCTGTGTCCAGGGCTGTGTCCGCCATGGTGCTGAAATGATCTCATCTATCCTATGGTCTGAAGCCTGTCCACTCCAAAAGAGGGCTGTGAGCATCCCCAAGGGATCGGGGTATCCCTTGCTTGTTGATGACAGAAATTGGTGCTTACCTTGACTGTCATCATGATACCCAAGAAGCTGTCAGCATCTTTCCTCCTCAGTCTGAAGACCGTGTAGCTCTTGACCAAACAGAACTATCTGAGGGCCCCAGCGCATTCTCTCTGCCACAGCAGCCACTCTGCAAAGACAGCTTTTGACTTTCAGAGGCTTTCTGTGGCATGATGACCCCTTATGGAGCAGGGGGTACTTTCTGAATTTGAGGGTTGCCTAATTTTGCCCACTACCTCCCAAGTCTACAGCCCTCTGTTACTCTGTTATTGGGGTGCATCATGTCAGTTCATCTCTCCATGGACTTGATCCCTCTACTCAACACAAATGCAGCATATGCCATGGCTAGAAGCCACACAGGCACAGGAATAAAGGGATAAGATAATAAAGCCTTCCAAGCTTGCTTCCTGTCTACAGTAGGCTCACAGTCTGCTTGGGGAGCAGTGGTAGGTATGGAATTTACACAGGAGGAATTTAGGAGTGGTAATCTGGTTATGGAGTGTGGGGAGTCCCAGGGAACTAGCCCTGTATCTCTGAAAACTGCAGCCCTTTTGCTTGTGTGTCTTTGGGGGTGGTGCAGTGGGCTGGAGACAGTTTGATGGAAGTTACTGGAGCAATTTACACCCCCTTCCATCTGAACACATTTGGCCCAGGTGTGCAGGAGGCAGACAAGAGTTTCTAGAAATAATTGCAAGGTTGTTATGAGAGAAGCAGCAGAGGATGAGTCAGAAGTGGGGCCCTACATGGGTGCAACAGACAGGCGGGCATGCTGGTACCAAGAACAGACTGAGGGGCTGGGGAGATGGTAAAGTGCTTGCTACATAAGCATGAGGACCTGAGTTCCATCTCCGGCACCCATGTAAAAAGACAGGCTTACCAGTGGGTATTCTTGTGTAACCCCAGCCATAGGGAAGCAGAGACAGGGGGATCTTTGGGGCTCACTGGCCAGCCATTGTAGCCGAATTGGTGAGCTCCAGGTTCAGTGAGAAACCATGTCTCAAAAACTAAGGTGGAGAGTGACTGAGGAAGACACTCAACATCACCTTTGGCCTCTACATGCACACACACACACACACACACACACACACACGCGTGCACACACGCGTGCACACACACACACACACACACATACTACAATGCAATGCACAGCTTTCAAGAGTTGGTTCTTTCCTATTGTGGAATCTGAGGATCAAACTCAGGTCACCAAGTACCTCTACCCTCTGAGCCATCTTGCTGGCCCTAATTTTTAAAATTTTATGAACTGTGTCCTACTTACTTTCTACTGTGATAAAAACACTGATCAACTTGGGGAGGAAAGGGTTTATTTGCTTTACAGCTCACAGTCCATCATCAAGGGAAGCCAAGGCAGGAAATCAGGGCAGGATCCTGGAGCACAGACCATGGAGGTACACTGTTTACTGGATTGCTCCCCTGGCCCGTGCTCAGCCTACTTTCTTATACAATACAGGACCATTTGCCCACGGGTGGCACTGCCCATAGTGGGCTAAACTCTCCCACATAACTCACTAATCAGGAAAATGCCCCACAGACATGTCCACAGGCCAATTCAATAGGAGAAATTCCTCAATTGAGGTTCCCTCCATCCAGCTATGTCAAGCTGATAACTGAAGCTATCCAGCACAGACTGCTTTCTTCATCTTCCTCTTCCTCCTCATCCTCCTTTTTCTCTTCCCCTTCTTCTTCCTCCTCCTCTTCTTCCTCCTCCTCCTTCTTTTTTCTTCTTACTATTATTATTTTATATGTATGTGTGCCTGCACATATGTATATGTACTACCTGTATGCCAATACCCACAGAGGGCACCTGAGATCCCTGGAACTGGAGTTACTGTGAGTTATGAACCACCTGATGTGGGTGCTGGGAACTGAACCTAGGTCCTCTGCAAAAGCAGCCAGTGCTCTTAAGCACTGAGCCATTTCTACAGCCCCTAGTTTCTTAACTTCTCTGTGGGGAAGTCTCCTTTGTTTGGTCTGTTTTATTTTGTTTTGGTTTTAAGACAGGGTCTTGCTATGTAGCCCAGGCTGACCTTGAACTTTTACACTTCCTGCCTCTGACTCCCAAGTGTTGGTATTCAGGCATATAGTAACATTGGCATGGTGGACATGAGGATGATTCTGATCTCAGGGCTGCCGTAGAATGGTTCAAACTCAGCTAGGTGAAGCCCCTGTCTTTGATGAACAGTCAGTGCTCTGTCAGCCTGTGGCTCTGATCTCCCTGAAGTCACTGGTTCACTTATTGGCATCTCACTGGGCATCCTGATCCCTGTGCACCCCACTGCCCTGCCCTCCTGAAATCTTTGTACAATAAAGAAAAGGGATCTGGACCTGGAGAGACGGCTCAGCTATTAAGAACACTGGTTGTTCTTGCAGAAGACCCAGGTTCAAATCCCAGCACCTACATGGCAGCTAACAACTGTAACTCCTGTCCCAGGAGATTCGACGACCTCTTCTGTCCTCCTCAGGCACTGCACAACACGGGTGCACTTAATACATATGCAGGTATAACACTCATACACATAAAATAAAAATAAATTTAAAAAAATTAAAAGAAAAGGGATCTATAACACTGAATTTTGTACTGACATTCTTAAAAAATGGTAAATGAGAAAAGGAATGCTTTTAATTATGCATATTTTTATATGGAAAATCATTTCTCATTTAATAAAATACCCATGGCATTAGAGTGATGATTTTAACTGTTTTAAGTGTACAGTGCAATGGTGTTGAATCCATTCATACAGCCTTCACCATCCATCTCCAGAATATTTTGATTTTTCCAAAGAGCAATCCCCTTCCCTCTCCCTGCAGTATGTAGACTAGTTTCCTCTTCCTGACTCTGAGTCTGAATGCCCAGGGTGCAAGATGAATCTGCTTGCATCAGAGTTTCTTTCTCTCTTTAGGCATAATAATAATAATTCAGTGTCTTCATGTTTTTTTTTCTGTCCTCTCACCTATCTGTGCATGTTTACATCACTTTCATCTTTTGGCTTCTTATTCCAGTGTTTTCTTTCATGCCAGATTTCCTATGTGGAACAAACGGTTCACGGTCATACTTATTGTGTATGGTTTGTTGTCTGAGGATGACTTGTGCAAGATTTCTTGTTGGGTAGTGGCAGCTGGCTTCTTGTCTGATATAGGGACAAGGAATTCCCGCCTGGTGCTATTCTGTCCTATTTTTATTTTTATTTTTTAAGACAGGATTTCTTATAGCCCAGGCTGCCCTCACACTCACTATGAAGTTGAGAATGACCTTGAACTCTTGCCCTTCCTGCCTCTACCTCCCAAGCGTTGAGATTACAAGTGTGCAGTACCGCAGCCAGATTTCTGTTAATTATATTATTATTGATGAATTCACTTCTTGGATGTTATTGCAATAGTGCCAGGTACATGGGGAATCAATAAGAGGCAACTATAACTGTGCACGTTATCAGTGGAGACAAAAACGGTCTATGTCAGGGTGGTTGAGGTAAACCTTTTGCCTTTCAAACTTTCTCCAGGGATGTTTCTGGATTATTACAGCTCATCACTGCTGCTTAGAGAGGCTTGGCAACCTCATAGGTTTTTATTAATGGTCATTCTTTAGTTGCTGGCTGCTTTGCAAATGAGCTAGCATCACTCAGAACACCGCAGACCCCAAGCCAACACTTGACATTTGCCTGAGCAGTGATTTGTCTTCTGACTGGTGACTCTAAAATAGTGTTTTCCTAAGATAATGAAAACAGCCCAGTGTGGTGGCACACACCTTTAATTCCAGCACTCCAGACACAGAGGCAGGGGCATCTCTGTGAGTTCAAGACTAACCTGGTCTACATAGTGAGTTCTAGGCCAGCAGGCTACACAGTGACAGCCTGTCTTAAAACAAAGATGGTGAAAACATCCAGACACAAGATGACAAGATACATGAGTGTCATCTCACCTTTCACCAGCTTAATTTGGCTGGAGGATTTCAAATGTTTTATTTATTTATTTATTTATTTATTTATTTATTTATTGATTTATTTATATGTTTTTATTTATTTATTTATTTATTTATTTATTTATTTATTATTTATACCATCACTAGTTGGATTCAGCCTGCTTCTGCATGGTCATAACCTTTTCTGGGAGGTGCCAAGTCCCTGTCTTCACTTAACACTGCCATATCACTCTTTCCCAGGTGATCACGGGAATCCACTTCATCAGATTCATCTCCACAGTGTCCTGTGTGGCCAGTTGTTTGGGGTTGTGAGGATAGCCCTATCTATTCTTTGTGATCCTTCTGATCTCATCCCCTAAGGCTACACCCCAAACCCATGACCTGCCCTGAGGTCTGGTCCTCACAGGAGGACTGTGGGGCTTTGGGGCATCTTCTGATCATCTGTACTACTGCTAGAGAGGGGCTAGCAACCATTCTGAATGGAAGCAGGTGACGACCCCCAGAGCTGGAGGGTTTGTACCTAGGATGGCTGAGTTCTCAGACAGCCAAAGCCCCAGGAACCTACAGATAAACAGCTCCCAACATCCAGCTATTCATTTAAAGTGTTTTTGGGGGAAACTCAATGTAGAGAATATGGGAAAGATCCACAAATGTGCTTATAAGAAGGGAGGACATTAGAGGACAAGGCCATTGCTATAGGAAATGCTTACTCGAAATCAGGCATTATGGTACACTTACACACATGTAGGCAATCCACTCATACACATAAAATAAAAATAATAAAATAATTTTTTTTTAAAAAAAGATAAGGGAGGGAGAAGAATTAGAATTTAGAATTAGAATTGGAATTAGGTAGTTCTCAACTACATAGGAAGTTCAAGGCCAGCCTGGGTTATATGAAATCTGTCTTT